GACCGCGCCAAATACGCATACGTAGATCCAAGTTGTTTGGATATTTTTCTCCTTTCATAAAGAACATCATCAGCTAGGCACTGTATTTTGTATTCACTCAGGTTATATTTGCCTCATATCAAAAATGTTTGATCAACTGAAGCATTCTAGCAAGTAAAACTGTAAGGGGGTCAATACTTTTCCACAGCGCTGTAGGCCCAACATTTTTGCACAAAGCACAACTCTGGGAGGGGTACACTGAAAAAAATCTAAATCTAGATAAGTCATTTTTTTCTTAAAATAACTGCATTTGTTCTTGGATTGAGGAGGTAAAAGAGACATTTTGCCAATGGAACAAAACGATTTACACTTAAAATAAGAAAACACAATTGCATTGTTTTATTTCAAGTGCATATTATCTAATTATCTGTTTTTAAGAGTAAAAATGCTCATTCCATTGGCAAACTATCTCATTTAAATACTCAAATTAAGGACAAATACAGTTAATTTAAGAAATGTTTACTTGTTTCTAGGTTGTTTTTCCAGTGTAGATAAAGGACGTCACCAGAAGAAATTACAAAAGACAAACTTGAACGATCAGTGCATTTTATTTTTTTCATCACAGTACAAAAATAAATTAAAATAAGCTGAAACATACTAAAAAAAGTGTAGATTACAGCGACTGCTTTTTTTGTCTTTAAAAAAAAAAAAAAAGAATGACTTTATTAAACAGTTTTTTTCACCTTTATCCCACCAAGATGTGTCTGGTTACTGTTTTCTTCTTACCCTTCTAAGAAAACAACACATTATTCTGTACAAACAAAACGCTGCCATTTTCACTCACTCATCCACTCATTCGCGCACACATGCAGCTCACTGAGCAAATGTTTTTGAATTTCTGAATCACCATTTTATCTACAAACAACAAGATACAGAAAAGAATCCGACAGAAGTATTTTAACTATCAATTTAGTCTTTTTTTTAATGTTTCATAAGCTTATAAACAACTAGTGAACAATGCAAGTGAAGAAACATGGCACATTTTAAGCTGAGAGAGGAAACAATATTTTCAATTGTCAATTTGAGGCTTTTTTTAACCTTCAGTTCTTATTTCCTGGTGGACGATAAGAAGCCCATCCATTTGTTTCTCCTAGTTTACAGAAGAAAAGGAATCCTGTTTGGTAAAGTGTAGCATAATCGCTATACTCCGATGGTCCCTATGCTCAGGAGACACTGGTTCACACAAGATGTTTTCAGTAGCACATCTACAAATATATAAGCTCCTGCTTCTTATGTGTGTGGAACCAGGTTGGGTATATTAAAATGTTTTTGTGGCAGGGTAACACCAAGGCTGCCATATCAATGGTGGTCAGATTAAACAATGGTTTTCATGAATGGGTCCAAAAACAGATAATTAAACCAGTTCAATCTTCATTCCAAGCAAATATCAGCTAGCCTGCTGCACCAATAATCTCCACCTCTTAACACCCTTCCCTTTCTTCTGACTCAGTGTGCCCACATAAATAAATATATAAATAAATACCTAAATGGCAATAAGTTATGTCGGTATAAGTTGCTGAAAACCTACCTCAGTATCTAAGAGGTTTAATCAATGATATGGCACTGTAAGAACATTTTTAACGCTGAAGCATGAGCACAAGAGTGGTTGCAATGCAAACTGTTGACAAAAAAGTACAAAAAGAAATGTTTTCCCTGGTAAATAAATAGCCTTTTTTTTTTTAGCAAGCAGAGATAAATAAAACTAGTCACTTTGTTCACAGCATTCTCTAACGCAGATGCAGTCAAATTTGCAAATCAAGTAAAAAGGAAGAATAACCATAATGATAATAATAATAATAACAACTCCTGGAGGCTTCATAAAGTTGCATGGCACACGTGCAAAATGTTACATTTCTAAGTAGAAAAGAAAACTTGTTGGAGATAAAAGCAAAGAGCCTCTGAGGAGCAAAACATCCATGATACTGTTTTCTTTTCTTGTTTTTTTTCTTTTTTTTCAAACAAAGAAAGTCTTTCTGAGCAAACGATATTCATCACCCAGTATTTTTTATTTTATCTAGCTTTTTTATCAAAAGTTTGAGAAAGCAGAACTGGTCCTGTTCGTCCAGTTTTAGAACCCCCCCCCAAAAAAAATCCAAACTCTCAATCCGTCTCCGCTCAGATCGAGACCTTTCTGTCTTCTGATGGTCAGCTACGCATCGCAGCGAAACAAGAAAAACGTCCGTGTCAGTGGAGGGGATGTTCCATAGAGGCAGCCGGGATGCCTGTTCACCCGTGGAGCGTGAAGAAAGCCAGTCAGGCGATGGCCCTCACCCTCCTGCAGTAGGCAGTGCACATCACATCGTCAAACAGTCAGAAAGTCACTGGTGGGCTACTGCAGCTTCAGTCCTGTCCACATTCAATGCTGCAGCTTCCTTTCATGTATTGTTTTTTTTTTTTGTCATTTTACCCTATTTTTATGTATTTTAAATAAGTGGTGTCATCTAACACTTGGTAAAGAATTCACCCAAATCTGGCATTTTTCAACATATATACAGTGCTTCTAAATCATCTCTAATTTCTTTACATTTTGCCTTGAAGGAATCCAACTGCCTGATAATGATTTAAATGATCTTTTTCAAAAGTTCTTTGGACCTTCTGAAGGTCTTTTAAAACTTCTCCGGGGAAGATTATACACTTTGTTTATAAAAAATGTGGATGGTGGAAAACTGAGTGAATAATTCCTGTACTGGTAGCTAGAAGTCACATCTTTGAGGATGAGACATGCGTTTTTGTGTTTAGTAGCTCGTTGGCTATTACCTTTTTTGGTTTCATACAGGCTTCAGGTCCAATTAAAGTCATCTGGTAGGAGGCCCGTCCCGTTAGTATAGAATCAAATTGAATAGAACAGATTAGAGTTAAACTTTGCCCTTCCATAGTGGAGAAACTTCTTATATAAATCATTGAAATAGAAAAAGATAGAAATTGAACTTTAGGAGCGGGGTATAAAAAAACAGTGGAGAAATTAACTGCAATTTAACCCAACCCCTTGGGGAGCAGTGGGCTGCCATTGTGTGGAGCACAGGAAGCAGTATGGGGTTTCGGGTCTTGCTCAGGGACCCAGAGTGCAGGCTGTGGGGATCAAACTGAGTACTTGCAACCTTCTCAGATCACAAGCACGCTGCTCCAACCACTAAGCCAGGGGTGGGCACTTCCAGTTCCCGGGGGCTGATATCCTGCAACTTTTTGATCCATCCTTGGTCCATCACACCTGAATCAAATGGTTGAGTTACCTCCTCAGTAGGAAGTCAGTTCCTCCAGGGTTCTCTCAATCATCTAATGACTTGATTCAGGTTCTTTGAACCAAAGGCACATCTAAAAGTGGCAGGATACCGGCCCTCAGGAACTGGAATCGCCCACCCCTGCACTACACCAACACTCCCCATTGGACTGGTGTTTTGCTAAAAACAGATATTAAAATATATTCAGTGTGGATGAAATCTCAGCATTATCTCTAGGTGTTCCTGGTGGAAGGTGAAGCTCAACTCAACCTAAAATCACCCATCAGCCTGATACGTAGTGTTGAAGTTCAACCATATTTTGCATGTAGGCCAAAAAGTGTCCTTTTCTTACTCTGAGAAAGTCTGCGAAAGACTGAAAGATTACAAGAAAGCAAAATGTAAAGAATCCAGGAATCATTTGTTCACAATCCTGTATATTAGTTTTTTTTAAAAAGCATTCATTCTTGGGTTTACATCCTTAGCAAGTTTGAAAATAGAATCTTGCCCTGACATTTACAAGCAAAAAGCCCAGTGCCCTGGGAGCATTGTTATCCTTTCAATATATGCAAATACTGGATAAAATGTCAAAACTAGTTTATACAAATATGAAACACTCTGCAGTATCCTGGCTTATCAGCAGTTTGGACAGAAGTGAATAAATAGCATCACTGATCATCTTGAAAAGGTGTCAAAATGCCAGATGAGAGTTTACCCCCCCTCCCCATTGTTCCCTAAAACCTTCTCCCCCCCCGGCATCCCCTCACCGGTCCAGGCCGATGAGCAGGCGGCTCCTCTCCTCCTCCTTCTGGCTCTCGTTCTTCAGGTCGGCAAACACCTGAGTGAAATAGTGGGGGTCAGAGTTGATCTGGAGCATCTTGGCGCTCATCAGGTTGATGATGGAGAGGCAGCGGTCCCAGAAAGTCTCCTTGGAGCTCTCCACCAGAAAAGGCTTAAGCGGGTAGGAGATCTCGTTCCCCATGTAGGAGTAGGACAGGTAGAGGCAGGTGAGGAGCACAGCCTGCAGCTCATGCTCTGTGGCGACCTCAGAGGAGACCACATCACGGCACAGCATGTAGACAAAGACCACGTTGGCAGGAGTGATGAAGCCCTGGTCCTGCCAGCCTTGCAGCAACAGGGAGCGATCGACACTGCGCAGCCAAAGCACCGGGTCGGTGGGAGAGAGATGCTTCAGCCGGTAGCAGCGCCTGCACAGGAACTCCCCGAGGCAGCGCAACAGTTCGCTGGTGGAGGCCTGGACAATAACCCTCTTAGGGGTCCCTGGGGCCACATTGGAGTTAGTTAGGGGGGCCTTCTTGACTGAGGATGTGTTGTTGGAGCCCTTGCTGAGAGCTGGGCTGCTCTGATCTTGGGTGAAGCTGGACAGATTAGCGCAGGACTGCGACTTCTTCAGGTTCTCATTGTTCAGGTGGGACACGTTGTTCTGGTAAGTGCCATTGGGTTGCACTTTCTTGGAGCTCTTCTTCTTGGCTGACACCGCCACAATCCGCTTCCATGGCAACACATTTATAAGCGAGTGGCGCTTCAGGTTCTTGTCTTTGGCGTTCTTGCTGTTCTGCACGGCGGTGTAGTGACCCACAGTAGCAGAGCCGTCTTCGAAGAGAGCCGCCTTCCGGTAGCTGGGGGACAGAGACAGAACGGTTCCCATGGTGGCAGCTGGGAGGCGTCCAGGAGCTTCAGCGTCAGAGATCTGAGCTCTTTGAGAGGATTTTTATCACCTGGACGACCTGCACCTCCTGTAAGAAGACAATAACTTGGGAAGATTAGACTAAAGATTCATACTTTCTCATACTGAAATTAATGTCACTTGGATTTATGTGCTACAAAACACAATTACTTCATAACTAATAATAAAAATAAATTGGTTTCATAATGGATGTTGCATTTGAAATAAAATATCAAAGTGCTAAGAATAGGTGGTTAAAAACAGTTCACAAATTATAATAAAAACCAAAACACAGTAATACACCATAAAAAGTAGATTGAAGTATTAAAAAGCCGTTTGAAATAAGAATGTCTTCAGGATAACTATGAAGTTAAATTTTGCACAGTAATCTTTTATTTTACAGTTAAGGACCTGTTAAGTGCAGCGTACATTCGAAAATCATTTCCCCTCCCCATCCATCAAACTGACTTTTTCTTTTAAGCTTTTGACACAGATTTTAAATTGTCTGAAGGCATGGCGCTTTGACCAGGCCATTTTAGCACATAAATATGCACCGGTCTTATCGGTTCCACAGTAGCTTCTGGGTGTATGTTTAGGGTCGCCGTAAATGTTAAGGTTCCTGGGGTTTTGCTGTTTTTACTGGTGTGAGTGAGCTGGACACCTGAGAACATGTCTCAGTAAAGAGGACTAGCATGTATTTAAGGAGGCGAAGGATCATCTCTCTTTTACCCTTGATGGTATTCCAGCCAAAGTCGTAAACCAAGAATGGCTTTCTTGTTGAAATTTGTCTTCTTCAGGGTTCCTCTTCGGCCTGGAACCCTGACGCATTAAAGAAAGCTGAACGAATGAAAGAATCAAGGAAGAACTAGAATGCAGAGGGGATTCTAAATCTCTGGAGGAACAAATCTCTCTGGCTATTCGCATCGACAATGTATTTCTGTCCATTTTGTGCCCGCAACAAAGCTAGTCTCCAGCCAATGGTCTTCGTCAGGCTTAGATGTAGACAAACTTTAATGCCATTTTGTATACACAGGGTGTATACAAAACAAAATTTTGTTACATACAGCTTACAACAGCATGAAGATCTTGCAGTTGGAGCAAGATAAGCATTACCGATATAAAGTGCAGCAGTGATCAGACTGTACAATCGCCTATAAACCATTGCCTATCCCTAAACGTCCCTGGTTTTATATCGCCTTGGATTTCATTACTAGACTATTACCATTCAAAGGTTTCACCACCATCCTCATTATAATCAACAGCTTCTCCAAAGCCTGCCACCTCATCCCTCTTCATCAACTTCCATCTCACTTGAGACGGCTCACCTCCTGACCAAGCATGTTTTTTGCCTTCATGAAATCCCTTGTGAATCCTGTCAGACAGTGATCTACACCTGATCTCCCGGGTCTGGAAGGAGTTTTGTACTTCTTTGGGGGCCAACACTGCTCTCAGTTCAGGTTTTCATCCCCCAAAAAATGGTCCATCTGAACTCATGAACCAGGAGCTCGAGGCATCTCTATGCTGCCTCTGTTCGTCACTCCCATCATCATGGCGTACTAAGTTGCGTTGGGTTAAATATGCACATAATTTTCACATCTCGTCTGCTACTTGTCTGTCTCTGTTTGAGTCCTCTCTAGGATACCAACCTCCCCTACTTCCATCTGACAAGCAGGACATTGCAGTTACCTCTCTTAAACATTCGGTGCATTAGATGGGTCTGGAACCGGATGGTTTCTGCCTTGAACCGTTCAGTGGAAACAGATCGACATCTGTCTGATTAGAGAAGGAATCCTGCCTCGCCAGTACTCACCTGTACAAAAGGTTTGGCCATTAACTTGTGACATTAACCATTGGTCCATTTGTAATCCAGGCATTGCTCAGTCATTCTGTGGTTCACAGAAAGATCATCCTGTTTTTCATGTCTCTCTGATCAAGCCTAGTCCTCTTTGCCTTCCTTCCACTTTCCCTGAGACACTGGCAATCACCCGGCCGGATGCTCGTTGCAGAGGAAGGGGTTTCTAGTATCTGGACGATTGGGAGGGTAATGGACCCCAGGAATGGTCTTCAATCCCTTGTTTTTTATTTTGAACTCTGACCTTGTTCTGGACTTTGGGGCTTCTTTTCCTTCCTCTTCTGGACCTTGGGGGAAGTCCTTTAAGGGGAGGTAATGTTAGGCTTTTTGGGGTTTTGCTGCTTTTCCGGTGTGAGTGAGCTTCCTGTCAGTGAGAGAATCGTTGCTGGTGGCTTGGTTGACCCATGTTGCTGCACACCTGAGAACATTTCTCAATCAAGATGACTAAGCAGGATAATTTCTGGATGATTACCCCTGATTCTATTCCAGCCAAATACCTAAACCAGGATTATCTTTCTTGTTGAAAATGTCTTCTTGTGAGTCTCTTTAATGCGGACTCTGTTATTGTTTCAGACAACCAGTGAACCTCAGCTTGTCTCAGATCTTCATGGAAAAGGTCTTACCTGTGTGCAGCAGTTCAGTCTTCATTACCTGCCTTCTGTCCAGCACAATGTCTCTTCAAGTACCAACACTCTCCGATCTAACTCACATTTTCCTTGATCTCTAGGGTACAATCTGCAAAGCCCGCTGAATCAAACCCCTGCAGATCCATGCTACCACCCCTTCATCTCTCAAGTAAGAAAATCAATTAGTCATCAGGTGCCATCAAGCACCTCCTACCTGATCAGTCTGGTTTCTCCCTTCAGATCAACAACAGAGTTCAACTAACTTCCGTCACTTCTCTGGTTCCAGATTGTTTTTCCTTTTGTAAATAAAACATTAGAATTCACTGGTTCTTTATGTGATTCTGCATGTAGGTCAAAAAACTACAAACCAACATGACATTCAACCTCTAACATGTTCTTCCATGGATGGTGGAATTGTTTTGCAGCTCTGACCTACTTTACTATCCATCCTGAAGAAAACATTCCCGCAACATGATGCTGCCATCATTAATTTCTAAAGGGGTAAACATCTTAAAGTGTTGCCATTTATAGAGTTTTGCCTGATTATAGAATGATTTAATACATGGCTTACAGCAAAATGCATGTATAATGTTTTCCAGACTTCTAAACTATCCATCTGTATCTTTAGCTGACTGTTCAGGATCATTTTCCTGCAGTATTGTAATGTTTCTCCCTTGCCTGAAAGTGGGTTGTAGCCTGTAACAGCTTTTCTTTATATATTTGTTATTATTTACCTATATTCATCTTCACACCCACTTGAATAAATGAAACATCTCTACAACATGATTCTATCAGCAACACATTTCCCAACAGGCTTGGTGTTTTCAGGGTTATCTACAGCTTTATTTATTTATTTATTTATTTATTTATTTATTTATTTATTTTCATTCTCAAATGATGTTTTATAAACTATCCCTACTTTAAAACTCTCCACAACCGTAACCCTGGCCTGTTTGCTGCTTTTCTTGATCTTCCTTATATGTTGTCTAATTTCTTTTAAATAAACTTCAAAGGCTCAAAAATCAATTGGATTTAAACTGAGATCGAATTACACAAAGCCACTTCTTGGGTATGATTGTCTGCAATTGGTTTTTTATAGTTATCTGGGTAACGGGTTCCAAATTCATGGCACACTGTTAAAAAATGCATTCTTTATGCATCATTTTCCTTCCAATCTACAATTCTGTAAGGTGAACCACATAAAATCCCAAATAATCTTTTTTTTCTTAAAGGAAAAATGTGGAAGTGCTAAATATAGCCTAAGAGATAAAGAAAACCTTGGATTTAAGCTCCACGGATGATTGAAAATGGATCTATAATCCATAGTTTGCAGCAAGAGATTTATGGTGGACGGATGAGAGTGAATCATGCGTCCATCTGTCCGTCTGTAAACATCCAACCACCCCACCCCCAACCAACTGTAAACAACCACCTTAATCAAACTAGGTGAAGGTCAAACTAGGTGCAGTAATAAGACGAAAAACAAGAAAATGTCCCATGTCTAGTTCATCTTAATCTAAATCCAATAAACAAGCTGATTATTGGATAATCCCCCCCCAACAAATTGAAGGACTGTTGAGCCTACAGGCTTCACTCCATCATCACGTTGTATACCTGATCACCGACTCCAGATGCGCGTGAAAAAAAGCAGAACATCAGCTTTTTTTATGTTTGATATTAACAGAGAGGTAAGGGCCGCATGCACGCTGCGCTCTCCATGGTGCTGAATCTGCGCGACCAAACCAGATCCGTCGCCCTGATAGGCGGTGGCTCATTGAAGGAAAATATGTTTGTTTTTTCACACTCCATCTGTTAATCTATAAAGCATATACATATGCTGTTATTATTTTACTAGAATTTAATCCATTTTTTTTCATGATTTGAAAGTATAAATGCGCATTTCTTTCACTTGAGTAGAGGAATCCAACAAATCTCTTCAAACAGCAGATGTATTGCGCTAAAAAAAACAAACTCACCAGATCTCCAGCTAAATGATTCAAAAGGCGATGGTCTTCCTTAGAATGATGCGTCTAAAAATATTAAACCATCTCGATCAAAGTAATTGCAACAAAGAAAATAATCCTGGATCCTCCAAAGAGACGGGAGAGAAAAGGGGGGAAAAAGGCGGAAAGATGATAAACTGGGCAGGAGTGCGCGGTGTGCAGACGGTGCTGGGCAGCTGTGGAATGGATGCTCAGATCAAGATGTGCTCCTGGTCCCGATGGCCGCGAGATGCGGATGCTGTGAGAGCTGATGTTGTGATCTGTGATGGTTGACGCAAAGGCGGTGCTGCGGACACAGCGGCGCGCCTGGTTCTGCAATGAAACAGCGCCCTCTACTGGTGTTTACCACGGCTGAGGTTGTACAACCAACGACCTTCGGCATTTAAATTTTGCTCTGATCATCTTATGTAAATACCAAAAGCAGATGCATTATTTTTTTTTCCAGTGTACCCAATAACTACACTATAGATCATTGTAGTGCCACCAAACTTGTAGGATACATAGATAACGTCACCTAGATCATACTACAACTCTTACTTTGAAAAGATAGGCCAAATTGTATTTTTGGAGATTTTTTATTGTTATAATAAGCATATAATAGCCAATAATTACACTATAGATCATTGTAGTGCCACCAAACTTGTAGCATAACCTCATTTAGTTCAGACTACAACTCTTAATTTCAGAATATGTGCTGAACTCTATTTTTTTTTTTTTTTTTAGATTTTTTCATTGTTATGTTGTTGCTTATATATAAGTAGGCCAGGTGTTCAATCTCTGCAGCAGGAACCACAGCGCTGAGCGTTGTGTGCACTGCACAAAGTATACCTGTCACAAATGCAGGAAGGACTCACCTTGGGTTTGTGTAAACTGCTAAATGGGACAATTGTAGCTTCATATGTAGTGCTTTTCCTTGGGTGAAATAAATGTTACTCCAATACTAAAATCATACTGTTTGTCATTATCTAAGCTGAAATGTTGAATGACATGAAAAGGTGAGAAAAGACAAAATACAATTATTCTTTAAGTTGTTCTTTCTTTCACATAGTGAGCTTTGCAATATAAATGAGTCTGTTGGTGAATGAACAGTATAAATAGGCTCTTCCTTGCTTTGTTGGAAAAGCATGGTTATGACCTGTTCTCAGCTCAGGAACTAGGACCCGTATGATATCTGGTTTTTCAATAGGTTTGACTAAATAAAAAATTTAGATATGACAAATCAATATATTCCTGCAAAAAGGTCTGGTGTTGCAGGGGCAGGAAATGAAAAGAGCCTGGAACATGCTCTCGTTCTGATGCCAGTTTGTTTCAGCCTTTATCCAATCTCATGTAGAAGGGCTGCTAATTTTAACAGGTTATTTGCATTACAATAGGGACAGTTAGCAAGGCAGAGTGAATACACAAACTTGAAGAGGGTAGGGGGACTTGCAGGAAAACTGATATTCTGTTGGACTTCTAGTGTTAAAAGTATCTAAGTAATAAAATCAACAAATGAATAAACACAGCATTCAGTAACTATTTCATTTTCTCATTTATTTATTTTAGGAGTCATTGTTGATGAAAATTTAAGCTGGAAACAACATACTGAACAGAAAGCCTACAAATTAAAAATTATTTTTAATAGAGTTCGTTATTTTTAATGATTCTTTTATGTTGATGTTATATTATGGTTTAATATATCCACATATAACATATTTCAGTAGTGTTTAGGGTGCTACATGTCAATCATATCTTTAGAAGATTCTTATAATTCAAAGGAATTTTTACGCATAATGAAGTGTTGAAATTAACTTTCATCTACTGCTTTTTAGAAAAGACAACATTTTGACAATCTTAAATGTGAACATATATTGCATATCTTTGTTTATGCATAAATATGTCAATTTATTTACTGATTTGCCTAAAGTTTTTCTAGCTTCTTGATCTATTACCTTATAGTACTAATGTACTTAACAGTATCGTGACTTCTGTTTACCATTGTGCAAAAAACAGTTTGACCTTCTATTTGCAACACATTAGCTCTTCAAACCACAACTACAACTCATTCGATAAAAAACAAAACAAAAAACCCTCAAAAGTCTAGTTAGGGCTATATTCCATATACTGAATTGTCTTTTGTGCTGCTGTAAATGCTATGTTTTTGGAGCAGTGTCTTATAAGAAAACTGCACAGTTTGTTTTTAACTATTTATTTGTTTTAATGTGCAATTAAATCTAATTTCTTTTTAATTTTAATTTTCTTTCTAATCGCCATATAAACAAACATATATAATTATAACATGCAACTATACTTAAAAAAAACAAAATGTGTGACCTATTAGAATTTAACTAATTTATAATAAAAAAAAGTCCATGGATAAATTGCATCAAATGCACCAGGAATTCTGGTGTTAATGAAGTATAAAAAGAGCCACAGTTTGATGAATAAAAGAAAAATATCTGCTTTCTTGATCAATTAAATGTAAACAAATGCACATTGTTCATTTAGCTAAATGTTAAATAAAGCCAGTTATACATTTGGAAAGGTATAATATACAAATCAGAATATTGCTTTATTCTGTCCATGGTTAATTCAAAAAATTTCTTTGAGAAATAAATCTTCCTCTTTTTAATAATGTTAAATTATTTTGTTCTGAGTTTTGACATTAAATCCCAACAAAAAGAGATTGTGTTTTCTGGTTAATGTGCCAAAATGTGGAAAAGTTAGCTGGTTAAAATAGTTTTGCAAGGCATGTTTCCTTTCAAATTGACCCAACAGCAGGATGTGCAATGCGCTGTTCTGTTGTTCATTTAGATTGTTGTTGTATATAAACAAAAACTTTATGTAAGCCATCCAGGAAGAGTAGGCTATATCATATCTTTTTTTTTTTTTCCTTATAACATTTCAACTGTTAAAAGAAGGTGAATTGTAATAATAGTTTAAATATTTTCCTTTTTAGTTTAGAGTGGTTAAACTGAAAATCCGCCAGATTCAGTTAACATCCCAGGACCCTTTTTAGTTAAGTCATTCTGTGGAGCAAGGCGACCTGTCCGACGAATTTACTACATTTCCCAGAGTTCTTTGCGTCATGCCCGCTGTGTCGTGGTCTCGTCTACAAACGTAGTCGGCGCACGTACTTTTCATTCAAGCAGTGTTTGAATAAGGAAGATGGCGGCCGCAGCGGTGGTTGAATTCCAGAGAGCTCAGTCTCTCATTAGCACGGATCGGAACGCATCTATCGACATCCTTCACTCTATCGGTGGGTGTTTATTCGAATCTTCAGTTGGACCTGGTTTATCCGGAGCTATTTCTTGTTTTTTTCCGTGACTTTCCGAGGCTCAGTTAGCCTAAACCGGCGCTGTGCCGTGCTGACTCACTGTAGAACCGATAGCTGGATGTTAGCCCCGTAGCCCGCTATCATTAGGCCTGGGCTCCGTATGTACCCAATAGAAGTGATAATAGGTACATATGTTATTAAGAACTTGGTAACGTTTTATTTTATCTTGTCATTCTGATCGTGCTCTATATTCCTCTGTCCTGTTAGCAGAGACAGCGCTGCGGCTAACGAGCTTAGCTTGTTGTGAGCAGTGAAATCAGCTCCATGGTGATATGATCAGTAGCCCTGATTTTTATAAGGGGAATTATTGGTTATGGGTAAAAACCAAACAAAAAAAGTTTTAAATTTCTGTAAAATAAATATATATTCCACGGTCCTAAGGTTATCAGAAGTTAATAGGTTTTCATAGACATGGCGGTGGGTTATTTGCCCTGTCACACCTGCTAAATTACTGTCAACTTTTCTCTGCTCTGTTTACTTCAACAACCAGTTTGGTTCAATAATTGATCTGTGACAGACGACAGAGTATTAGGGCCAGGCAAGAGATTTATTTTCCTTCTATTACGTAAATAAAGTCGTAATATTACGTAAATAAATTCACAACGAGAATAGTCATAAAATTATGAAAATAAAGTCGTGATATTACGAAAATAAAGTCGTAATATTAGGAGAAACAAGTTACGAGAATAGTCATAAAATTACGAAAATTAAGTCGTAATATTACGTAAAGTCATAATATTAATAGAAAAAAATCACAACGAGAATAGTCATAAAATACGAGAATAAAGTCGTAATGTTACGTAAATGAAGTCGTAATATTACGAGAAAAAAGCCACAACGAGAATAGTTATAAAATTAGGAGAATAAATTCGTAATATTACGTAAATAAATTCGTAATATTACGTAAA